CCTTTGTGACCCCCCGCCCCTCCTCCTTCCCCCTGTCAGCCCTCTGTTCCTTTCCTTCTCCCCTGAGCCACTGTGGGAGAGGGTGGGGCTCACACTAGCCGCTGCACTGCCTGGGTTGCCCCCCATTTTGCATGGTTAATTTCCACATACATTTCAGAGCTCCTCTAATTGTCCTTTTTGTGGAAAGACCACAGCCTGCATATAGTCCTCTGTTACCTGTTTCCAAGGCGCTGGCTCCCCCCCATCCACAGCATTTATTACAGTATAGCTAGTAGTGTAACAGGTGGCTCTGTGTCATCTGCAGCTGGGACCCTGTGGCCTCACTCACTGCTGTGTGCTCAGCTCCCCACAGTGTAAGGGGGCATAGTAGGCAGCAGAAAACAGGAGTGGAAAGAAGGAATGAGGACGGAGTCAGGGTTTGCATCTAATGCCCTGGCATAGCTCATAGCAGAGGAAAGTCCTCACTCAAGTTGGCTCTTGTGCCCCCTCCCCCAAGCCCTCCAGGAGTTTCTGCATTGAGTGGGAAGGAGACTGTTGCTATGTCTTGGCTATAACTCTGAATCCATCCCCTGCAACCTGCCCAGAACCACGACTCTCCTTCCCTGCCTTCTCTCCGTCAGTCCCAGGCTCTGGTGTTCTTGCCCCATACTGTGAACCCACTTTGCAAGTGTGGCCTGGCGGTCCAGGTCAGGGGTGGTCACGCAGTACACCAGGGGTGCACAGGGGCTGTGCTGAGGGCTGTGAGCTGAGAACACCAGGGCTCCTGGGCTGACTTCTGTGGCACAGAGACACCCCTCAGCTGGCCCTGAGAGACTGAAAGGCCAACTCCAAGTCCTGCAAGGGTGGAGCATGCAAGGTGGGGCAGCAGAAACTGGTTTCCCAGGGACTTTCGGAACTTGCCATTGGTGCATGACCTTTCTGACATGTATGTTGTTGGACATGAGTAAAGGGTTGGAGGAAGCCATAGGGGAGTCTCTCCCACCTGTTAATGGGGGGTTGAAATGGGACAGTGTGTCCTCAAATGACCTTTCTATGACTTTCTGATTGTAAGGGCTCACGGGGCATTAGAGCAACAATGAGGAGGTTGAGGGCATCTGAGTCTCCTCCAGAGCTGCTGGCCAGTGGCCAGTGAGGACTTCAAACCACATGGGGATGGCGGTGTGGTCCCTGCCTGTATCGGTGAGCTTAGGCTCTGCTCTGGGACTGCCCCTTTGCTCACACTCTGATGCAGCCCCACAGATGTCCCCACTGTCAAGGTCTTGACCCTGGGGAAGACACTTCTCTTCTGCCTCCTGGCCTTGTGGCCCTGTACTACTTTGCCTGTGTGCTTTAGTCACAGGCTGGAGCTGGTCAGCTGGCATTAGGGTGGAACATTCTGCCTGTTGTGATGGCCGTAACCAGATGCCATGATGCCTCCTCCTGAGTGGAAGTTTGCTCAGACCTCTTCATATTAATAATCTCAATTTTTGTGGCCACGTTATAAAACTATCTGGCTTATGTTTGTTTCTTCTTGCTAGGAGGTCATCTACTTTTATTTTTTTCTGGAATCACTTTATGTATATCTGTTCTTGTCACTTGGATTGATCTCATTTTTTTTTTTCCAGTTTTTGGCCGGGGCTGGATTTGAACCCACCACCTCCGGCGTATGGGGCTGGCGCCCCACTCCTTTGAGCCACAGGTGCTGCCCTGGATTGATCTCATTTTTATCATCACTAGCAGAACATTTAGTGGGCAGGGAGAGTGTCCTGTTATTCAATTTCAGTGCAAGGGCTAGTAG